TAGGTCGTATGTTGAGTGTCTGTATGGGGCCTTAGGCCTGGATTGCCTGGGTGTATTTACTGTATGAGAACACTGTATTTTATATGTATTTCTATCTTTTATATCATATCTATTATAGTTTTTAAGTATTTATCTTTCGTGATGTTGCACTGACCGGAGACATCTTTCAATTTCATTGTACTTGTGACAATGACAATAAAGAATATTCTATTCTATTCTATTCTATATCGGTATCGGCAGATATCCAAATTTATGATATCGTATCGGACATAAAAAAGTGGTATCGTGCCATCTCTAGTTTATATTTGTGCTCCAGTGCTGCCTTCTATGTTTGCATGTTTTCTGAGTGTTTCATAAAAGCCATTTCCAGGCCATAAAACTCCTACTTGCTGCAGTAGGGTGATATATTTAGACTGACTGGGTAATGAAAAAATAGCTTTAGCTTGGTGTTTTCAGCCCATACTGTCACAGAAATCCTGCAGTTATCATTTATTAAACATTTCTCATGTCTTCTTCAAACAGTTTTGCTCACATGCCTCTTTTTTCTGAGAAGCTGGCATTTTGCTGCATTTCTTTACTGCAATTTAACACAACAGCAACACACAAAAGCCAACTTTCTGGTTGTTCCACTTAATGAACATACAGGTGATACGATGCTTGTAATAATGGCTGCATGGTGAGAATCACCTTCTTTGACTTCTAAAACGCATTAAACACAACTGAGCCGCTGCTATTGAGAATGAAACGACAGGAAATAAAAGAAAACCCTTGCGGTAAATCATGAGATGCTGCACATTATATGAGAATGGGTTCTGTTCTGTCTGGCTTGGTGATGCACAGTACAGTAGCTCCACAGGAGACTGTGGAGCTTAGACTTTCAGTAGATCACCAGAGTGTGTCACCTACAGAAATACTGAGGTACAAGTAATGGGCTAAATGGGAAGACCAACACTGAGGAAGCTGAGATCCTTCACTGTGTGCAGCAAAATGATGGATTTTGTGATTGGCAGCAAACTGGACAGTTTTGAAGATGTAATGGAGAGGAGGACACAGACTATTGAGCTATAGTAGCTCAGGTCAACCTTCGCTCTCCACGTGAATCAGTGAGCCATGACCTTGTTGCTGGTTCACCACTGTTCCTTCCTTACACCAAATACTGACCACTGCAGACCAGGAACATCACGCAAGAGCTGCAGTTTGGGAGATCCATCCATCCATTTTCTTTCATCCATTATTTCCTGTACATAATCTTGTACAGCATGCCTGCACATGCTTATAATGTTAACCCAAAACAATAGCATTCATTGCTCCTGCACTGCATCTACTACAAAACATCATTTCAATGTCATTTTGGAGGTATTTGCTACTGGCACTGTAATACTGATCTTCTGTAAAGCTGAACATGCTGGAGAGGATTTATCCTTCCTGCAGTAGTCTGTTAAGGTCGAGGCAGGGACCCTGACAGTGATAAAAAGGAGCCAAAGAAAGGACAAGGTTACTGTGATAGCATCTGAGCCCTCTCTCCTTTGTCTTTTCCCTTATTTTCCTCTCTGCGTCTGTCTCGCTTTGCCTCAAGGAGCGCACACCCAAAGGGATACAAAATGGAGTCAATAACAGGAGCAGGTTAATAAGATATCATCAAATCCCTCTCTCCTCTTCTCCTTGCTCCTCTTCAGTGCAGTATCACGAAACAATATTCGCATGGCAACAAATGCAGTACAAACTGTGTAGCATGCTACTTTTAGTTGCTAACAGCAGATCAGACAACTTCATCCAGCTGACAAACCCTCAGACCAAACCTCCCGGGAGCTTTTTCTGTCTGGATAAGAGGCAGAGTGTGTTTATGTTTGTCTGTGTGTGGTCTTTGCTGTGGTGAGTGATGGATTCAGAGGGTATCTCTAAATGTGATCCAGTGTAAAAAGAGAGATAAAAAGCTAGAATTGAACCTTGGGTTGGTGTGTACAGTTTACCCAGCTGTCGTGTCTCTGGGTGTGAGATAAATGACAGCGATACAAAGACTGAATACAAAGCAAAGTGTACCTCCTCTGACAGCCCTGATCATGAAGGCTAGCTACCGGGCCAGGAGGAGACAGGGATGCCAGTCACGGTGGGATTACGGCACAGTTTTTTCTTCAGCTCCTTCCTTCTTTATCTGCTTTTGAGCCCTTCAGCTTCTCCCTACTGTCCGGTCCACGCTTGGGAAACCCCGATTTCATTTGACATTGAGTTCTTGCTTTCTATTAAATTTGACAGACTGGCATTTCTTTTCTCTTTAGATACAATCAGTTAGATTATGTGAAGGACAAAAGTTTAAAATCAAGTCACAATGACTTCATTTTTTATCTGTGGGTTGTGAAGCTTTAACCTATAGCGTCCCACTGATAAAAACAACTGCACTTCTAAGTCTTTTGCATATTTGTCAGACTTTACTTACTTTGTTTCAGATAATCAAACAAATGTTAATAATAGACAAAGATAACCCAAAGATAAACCTGTCTGACAATGACAAGCAGGCTATAAGATCTCAAAAAGCAACACATCATGCCTCGTGCTTTTTCTAAAGGAAAGGCTGAGGAACAAAGTCAGTGACGTCTGTCGGTTTATAAAGGGTTACAAAGCCATTCCTAAGACTTTGGGACTCCAGCAAACCACAGTGAGAGCCTTTACCCAGCGAGCATAAAGGGAGTAACTTTTATAAATGGCAGGTAATTACAAATGCAACATTTATATCACCTCATCAAACATCAGCAAACACACACGCTGTGTTGCTAGCTTACGATCCAGCCGCCGTATTTCACAGCGAGAGAAAAGAGAGAGAGCGCTAACTCCACTCAAAGACCAGACAGGAGAGGACGAGGGGAGGTTAGATTTAGAGGTAAGGATGCTCAGTCGTATTTGATAAACTGTAAAGTTAAAGCTTACATGTAAGTCCTCGTGTTTTTGAATGTGGCATTGTGTTTCTTCATATTGTGAAACACGCTGCAAATCAATCTGAGACAGAATAACCGTGTTATTTAAAGGTTGTGTGAAAGGACTCTGCAGTATACTGTCAGAGGATGGAAATCTGCCAGGGCAACTCGTGAAACGTCTGCTGACATCTCGTTAAAATCAGTTTTGTAAATTTGCAAAGAGCAGCAGATCAGCTGATCACAGCGTGCACGTCAAGAAAATCTACCGGAGCTCTCAATAGAAATTGTGACTCTTTCCCTCACGTTGAGCCATTACATCT